CAATACAAATTGTATCTAATACAATTTTTTTTTACTGGTGTTCTGTTCAAAAGGGTAAAGGCAAACACAAGATTGTGACCTTACTGCAGATTTCACATGTGATATCGCCTTTTTTGTTGCACCATCTCTGAATACACTTCCTATGAGCAAACTACATTACACAACCAAAGGAGTTGAAAAGTAAATCAGTTTTCGGAGATTCTACAAATAGCTTAACAAAACATATGAGCAAGGGCTTTTCTAAAAATAGATTTCTCTAGCAGGTTGTGTTTTGATTTTTCATGGGCCGATTAGAGAAATTGGGATGGATGAGGTGTAGGTGTGATGTTTTTTTTCGATCCTAACTTCCCATTTTCTTGTTAGTCAAATCAGTTCCTCACTACAAGAGAGAATAAAGACATCGTTATAGAATTTGATACATTTAACAAAATTTAAAGGCACTTCCATAAGAAAACAGTAGCATGAAGCTTTATAAAATTCACAGCAAGGGACACGACATACAATGAAGGAAATAATCAAACAAAATACAGATGAAAGTGGGATGAACCTGGAGCTGCAACTTTTGTGCGAGTGGAGGACGTACGATGTTTGTGTTCCTCATCGTACAATTTCTTGTACATTGGCACCAAATATGCATGCAAGAACAATACTCAAAATCAAAGATACAATCACAGTGCTTGGAAACCGTATTCCAGTTTCACATCGAATGGAAGACTCACAGAGCTATGAAGTAACTCAATCATTTGGGATTGTTCCTCTGCTCTTTGTAACACTGCTTGAACTTTAGATGTGGTTTCATCCTTAAGCATCTGAAGTTGTCTCTCATGCTTATCCTGGAAATTTTCAGGAAAGTATGAGCTCAATATAGTAGTCGTGAAGAAAAACAAAAAGAAAAGAATAAACAATAAACACAGCTACAAAAGAAACGTGACATTGCCTTCCACTCTGCTTCTTTCTCCTCAATCTGGCCAGAAAGGTTGCGAAGAAGACTCCGCAGGTGGACATTCTGCTCAACTAATCCATTTATGTCCTTAAATGTTAACTGCAAAAAATACCATCTCAATGCCCATCAGTTTTGGACGTCTAAAATTGGAAGTGTCTATATAGAATGGAATGAGAATACCATTTACCATCCGTTCAGATATGATATCTTTAGAACCGGATGAAGAAAGTGACGGTACAGTGGGACCACCAACCATCTCATCATCGTGATAGCGAGAAACTGATCTGCAACGCAACCGAACATCTCGACATTCTTTTAAGAGAACAGCCACCTGACAAGAAGATAAATGCAAGTGACAATACAATTTTAACCATAGCATGCACAAACCAAACAATCAATAAAATGTGTATATGTAAAAATGTAAAATCCAAGAGAATTATTATATCAAATTCCTTGCTCGGGGAGCTACGTAGCAGCATCATAGCATTAATTAACAAAAACACAAAATGGATATTACCTCTTTCTGGAGGTCAACGATCTCCTTCTGTACAACAGTATAATCACGCTCTTGCTTCCTTAAGCTTGTCGAAAAAGCAAAGTACAGACCTCAAAGATGAACTTGGAAGAAACTGACGAGTTTACCCAAATTTTGAAATAGAACACAAACCTTCAGCTCCTGAATAGTCATCTCCAACGCAGAATGTTCAGACAATGGGCGCTGCAGTTTTTGATCTAAGGCAGAGTAGGCATCAATAAGCTTCTCATCTTCCTCGGCAAAGGAAAGGACGTAAGGTAAATCACTCATTCAACTACAAAGTAATTGCATGATGTCTCAAAATATGTCCCTAGGCCATCTCTGGGCTTAATACTCAAATATTTTAGACCCTAAAGGACAAAAAATGAGGTCTCAGACTTGTTCCTGCTCCAGTTGTTGGCTCTTATTAAAAATACTATTTTTTCCATTTACTACTTTTACATCATTGGTTTAAAACTGTTCATAATATTTATTTTACGAATATGTTGATCCACAAAAAAAAAATTAATTTATTATTCACTATTCTAACTATTATTTATTAAATATTTGAAATGCCTCTGTTCAATTATTAGACCTACCCTTCCCAAAAGCAGTACTCATTAGTGAGCATTTGGTATATGAAGATATTTATACTTCTTTTCACATACAGAAATATGAGATTCAAACTCATGTAACAAGCCAAGACCCTGAAAGGATTACTAATGAAATACCAGATTTAGAAGCCCACTTACTTCGCAATTTAGACAAAAACGGAATTGTGATGTTGGGATCTTGGGTAGATACCGATAATGTTTTAGTGGGTAAAGTAACGCCTCAAGTGGTAACACAAACATCCATTCAAAAGCTCAGTACCCAATCAAACCGACTCTTAAATTAGATCTAATCGTACAAATCCAGTTTGATATCGAAACTCAAATACTACAAACTCATCCGCTTTCAAAATATTTTCCCCCAAAATCAAACCTAGAAACCTAATCGACGTAGATTAATAACAAATTCCAACAATAATCTAATTCGCGTGTAATTGATTAATGTTAAAGCAGCTTTACAAATGTTTTGGCTGAAGATCGAGTAGCGGTTATTCTCTCCAAAGGCCCTTCGATTCGATAGAAAAAATGCTAAATTCAACACTAAAATTATTATGTCCTTTATCCAAAGGCCTTTCCAGAAACAACCACAAAAGAAACCGAACAAAACATAAAAAAAATAAAGCACCCACATAACCTCAGACACATGCTCGGACGGTCTATGCGAGACCGGCTTCCAGAAATCCATGTTGCCGAAGCAGCTCGCCGCCTCCTTCACAGACTCGAATGGCACCGATGTGTCAATCTTCGTTCTTTGTTGAGGATTTGGCCCTCCGAGGATTGACTTGGCGTTTTGGGGTCGAAGGATTTGGCTCATCTTCATGGGAAGGAAGAACCCAATAAGGGATGCAACCTAAGAAGCTCATAAAAGTAGGTTTTGAGGGCTGAATTTGACAATTGTGTGCAGGCAGTGTGTGTGTGCAAAAAATCGCCGTACGGGGATTGTTGGTGGTGCTTCAAACTCGCCGCTGCAACATCGAGAGCAGAGAAAAATAAATGGGGGAAGATTTTGGGCTACTTAAAGTGGGAGACGGCATGGGCATGGGCATGGTAAAAAAAACTGACAAACAACGTGCAGGAGTCTCACTTTGCGTGTGCGAGATTTCGGGATTTCCGCCGAAAGAAAAAAAAAGTTAAGCCAGCAATTAAAGCAGTGTACAAACATTTTACAGCTACTTTACAGCTACTTCAATTATGACATCTTCAATTGACCGAATAACCCCCAAAAGGGCATTAAAGAAGGGTTATTTATTAAATTTGAAAGCAAACCTCTGCACAAACGAACGACGATATTCAATAAATAACGATTAATGTCTAGCAGGAAGATTCCATGACACTAATATTCTAATGTATCAGACTTGTTATAATTAAATATGTACTCATAAAAACTATCTGATGAAACTCCAACATGAAATAAATAGCTAGGATTAAAATTGACTTGAGAATTATCACATCTTCTCTGCCTGGTCTGTTTTGTAATAAACAAACAAACACCAGGCGTGTGAATTCCTACTTATCATTATGATTGAGAACTCACCTCCCCGTTGCCATTGCTGCCAAATCCAACGACTACAGTGCCCTTAATGATATTGACTCCCTTGTTCGTATAGTAATCTTCGTAAAAAGCAGCTATTCCGGCAGTGAAAAGCCTGGGCACTTTTTATATATGCACACAAAATTATTTTCATTGCCTCTTTTACAAACTTGTGAAAAAAAAAAAAAAAAAAAAAAATTGGAAGTTACGGCTAGTATGACTTACTGGGCCAAGGTTCTGTGAAGACCATACTGACGTCGAAATTGTTGATTCTCAAAGCTGCACTTAGCTCCAGGCCGATATATCCTCCACCGACAACCACAACTTTTCCATTTTTCTTTGTGTTGATTGCTTTCACGAGTTCTTCAGCGTCATCTATTCCTCTCACGTAAAAGATGTTCTTAGCATCAGCAACTTCTGTGCCAAAGTCGGTTAATCTAATAACCTGACAAAAGAGAGCAGCAGGCAATCCAAAAATAGCTGTCAGTGACATGAGCTACTGCTGGAAGATAGAAAATATAATTAAAACTAAGAGAATATGAAGAAAAAAAGATAAAAAGAAATGAGAAGTGTTACTTAACAGAAGAACCAGTTCCTATAATCAATTTTTGGTATTTAAATGTTTCACCAGCTGCACTCATAAGTGTCTTTGAAGCAAGATCTGCTTTCACAGTTTCCATGCTGAGTATCAAAGATATCCTGTTGATCATGAAGACAAGATTAGCAGATTGGGAATATAGAATGGGTCGGATTGCAAACAAAATTCACAAGAAAATGCCATGGTATATCATATACTGGAATATGAAATTAATAAGAATGGATTACCTTTATCTGTGTACCACTCAGGAAGGAAACTCTCTCCACCACTTCCAACACACACGTGAAAACTAGGAAGTCTTACAGTTCCTGAAAGATATATACGTTAAGTAAAATAATATTTTTGCTGAGGAAGTTGAATTGAGACGTCTGTCGGTGCATAGATTAGAGGTCGACATAAATTCTCTAGATGATATCGCAATTGAAGATGACTATCGAATACACAACACGACCATCGAAGACTATTTACCATTATGCCGAATCAAGTTGTGGATCTACAATTTGATTGATTTTTGAAAATTTCCCTTCTTTCAGTCGATGGCAGACGAAGCGGCGCTCCTTGTGGCATTTTGCGCTGGGATCTGGCGGTCACCCTCGATGTCCGCGTGCGAGAAGTAGGTACTGGTACATAATTTTGTATACTGAAAAGCTGAAAATATCCAAAAGCTACCTACCAAATTCAGTTTCTCCTCTCCATCCTTCTCGAATTTGTTGTTCTTCCTTACCATAATTTTGGAAAAAAAATCGGTTGGGCATTTTTTACAGAGAGGAGAAGATGGAGAAAGTTAGGGCTTAAGAATTAAGCCACCACTCTTTCGGCAGAGTCCACCGCCTTCACGGCAATCACATCACATTTGCAGAATGCAGGAAATAAACGATGCTCGCACGTCCCAGATTTCACGGGCAGAAAATCAGGCGATGTTTACACGCCAAAGACACGACAACGTTTTACCCAACATTAAAAAAATAATGATAAGAGCAAATTGGACATGTAATTTTTGCTCCATGTCTTCAATTAACTCGGTCCAAAAAATGTGGCAAAAACGTAAACAAATCAGGACCAGCAAATGGGACACGTGTCGACCGGCCAAATGGGCGAAAATGGACACGTGTCAACGCCACAATGTGCCTAACTCGTTCATATAAGATATAAGAGAGATATATGTAGAATTTACCACTAATAATAATAGTACTAGTCCAACACCCGTGTATTACACGGGTGCTTGTTAAAAAATTATTCTTAAATTTTAAGATTAATGAGAAAACTAAAAAATCTAGTTTACTTTTTTACAAAAAAAAAATGTATTACTCTATATTTTAGAATGATATGTGTTACTTATGACTTACATGTATTATATTATATTAGTTTTTATAACTTAAATCATATAACTACTTGAAATATAAATATATTAAGTGATAAATAATTTTATTTTTCTAATTAATATTAAAAATAATTTTATTATTGTTATAAAGATAAATATAAATTATTTTTTTTATGCATACAATATGGATGTTAAATCGAAGCTCATCAAAAGAAGATTAATTTGATATATTACATATGTAAAACTGATAAAAAATAAAAGTTATTAACTTTTAAAATATATATACAATTCAATAGTTATAACAAGGAATGATATTAAAATACAATTAATAAATGTAACATGACCATAAATAATCAACATATTTATGGTAATCCGAACCTAATTATTTTTAGATTGGAATTAAATTAAAATTTATTCAAACCTAATAACGAAGCATGTAATTTTGCCACATAGGATTCCGAAGCACCAGAAGCAGCCACGTAGGCTCAGCGCGTTCTGGATTAATATATAGGGGGGATATCTTTTACATTATTATATTGAAATTTGTATTGAAGTGTGTGCTAGTGTATGATTGAAGGCTTAAAATTGGCCTATAAACAGGGGCCAATGGGTATTGTAAAGTTTGCACGGAAGAAGTGAAAAAAAAAGGCAGATTATAATTTATCCGATTTTTACATTGTGTTCTTTATCTTCCCCGTATTTTATAACACATTATCAGCACGAGCGTTCTACCCGGTCAGAAAGGTAGGAATATAATAATAATACATATGTATATGTATTACATAAAATTAGTATATTATTTTACTAAATATGAATATATTAACATTATCCTTGACAAGTTAGGCTCTGCCACAGTCAAGGATATGTGGTATGAATATACTAAATATGAATATATTACCATTATTCTTGACAAGTTAGGCTCTGCCACAGTCAAGGATATGTGTATACTAAATATGATATTATCACACATTACCATTATTATTGGCAAATTAGGCTATGCCATAGCCAATAATATGTGGTAATATGATATTATTAAATTTGCTTATGAATTATTATTCAAGTTATAATAAATAATATTATTACTTATACTTAATACCCACAAAATGGTTTACCCAGTAATGTGGCGTAAAATTTATAACTGCTTATTCTTGTACCCACCGAAAGATTTATCGAGTAGTGTTGAGTGACATTTTTATTTGCTTTGTTATTTATATTCATTAGATTGTTTACAAAAATGACTCGGAGAATTTTTAAGGTAATATACATGATTAATTAGAATTTTATAATCATAAATGATTAACTAACAAATATTATATCATTAATTTTGTTTCCAACGGCTACTTAACGGCTATATTGCAACGACTATTTACCAATATCTATATATAACACTACAATTCATTTTCATAATCCAAACACTCAAAATATATTTTTTTTTAAATAAGAAAAAGAAAAAAAAATATTTGATCCATTACTAATAACTACCATTATATTGTTTATTATATACGCTTTAGTAGTATTCACGATGTTGTATCATTCTACTGAATTTATATTTTATGTATTAGGTCTTTGTATAATGTGTTTATAATTTGCTCTTTTGTACGTATTGAAGAATCAATGATTGTATATGTAATTTTTCGAATCTAAGCATTGATATTTTATTTTATAGTTATCATGTCAAATCTGGTCAAACTCGAATTTGAAGCTCTCGATATATCTAGAAAAAACTATATTTCACGAACATTGGATGCCGAAATTCATTTGGCTGCAAGGGGGTTGGGAGAAACAATAATCTCCCCAAATAATTCAACAATACAAGATAAAGCTAAAGCAATGATATTACTGAGGCATCATTTGAATGAGGCATTGAAAAATGAATATTTAACTGTAAAAGATCTTGCAGATCTCTGGAAAGCCTTGAAAGAAAGGTATGATCACCAGAAAACGGTAATTCTCCCCCGGGCTCGTTATGAATGGATGTACTTACGCTTCCAAGATTTCAAAACTGTAAACGAGTACAATTCAGCCATGGTTCGCATTTTCTCGGTATTGAAATTATGCGGAGAAAACATAACTGATTACGATATGCTCGAAAAAACGTTGTCCACATTCCACGCTTCAAATGTACTTTTGCAGCAACAATACAGAGCAAAAGGCTTTGTGAAATATTCTGAGTTAATTTCTTGCTTGTTGCTAGCTGAACAAAATAATGAGTTGTTGATGAAAAACCATGAATCTAGACCCACGGGGTCTACTGCGGTCCCTGAAATATATGCTGTAATATCTAGACAGGGAACCAGAAATGAAAACAGCCAAACATATGTGCGTGGATATACCTTGGGACGTGGCCGTGGTCGTGGTCGTGGACGTGGCCGTGGATATGGTCCAGATCGCCGATTTGACCGATGCCACAAATTTTACCGAGGGTATAACTCAGGCCGAGGATATAATCGTGGACGAGGCCGTAACTATGCCCAAAATTATGAAAGGGGGAGAAATTTCCAGCTAAAATTTGAACAGAATAATGTGATGGAAAATAATGATGAAAAGACATGTTATCGATGTGGAAAGAAGAGACATTAGGCACGAAATTGTCGTGCTCCGAGACACGTTGTTGATAATTATAACAATTCCCAGAAATCAAAAGATAAGAATATAGAAACCAATTTTATGGTTTGGGAATCCTCTGAAAATGATTCAACACGTGTGGATGATGACTATGGCATCGATGACATACTGAAGCTGGATTTTGCCAATGCGGTAGTTGAAGACATAGCTGGAAATGACGAAGAGAATAACTGATGATCATGTTTTTTTTACTGCTTTCTAACTTTTGTTGTATTTGTGTGTGGACTACTCTTATCTGTATTTCAACTTTAATTAATAATAAATGTTGTTTTCTTTTAAATCATGGATCGAATCCAAATGGAGATATATGTCTAGTGTATGAGATCACTCGGGAAATTAGAACCTCAGTCGTCGAGGACCGGGAGT